AATAGTATATTTGGCATCAGAGCGACTTCTGAATGCCAAATAGAATAGTTCTATGACCGGCGGTTTAGTTGAAATTTAAATATGTACTACATGTACTCCGTTGCATTATGTATTCAAAGAACAGATGTACAGTAATAAAAATTAATTGAAGTGTATAATTTTAGTTTCTTTTATTTTTGTATACAATGCGCTCGAGTAATTGGATCCTTGTTAACTACTTGTATTGTTTGTTTTAACTGCTAAGAATGTTCAATGGAAAAGCAAAGATTTATCAAACAATTTCTTTATAAAAATCGCCACTAGATAATCGCTTTTCCGTACTTTATAGTAAGTAAAATCAGAGTTAACATAACAAATTGCGTTTGTCGTAACAAAAATATTTGTAACGCTTTCACTCCTAAACCACTGAACCGTTTCAAATGAATCCTAATGCAGACATAAGTAGATAGAACCCTAAAGATCCAAAGCTACTGTAACGATGATTATAGAACAACTAAGCAGGTATCTAATTAATAGATAATTCCTATTAATTTACATAACTCTCGCGTAATCTACTGCTATTTTAGGAAACAATCAAAAAGAAAGTTTTCCGTCATGGCCAGTAAGTATAATATAGTGTTGTTATAAAATACTCGGTACAAAACAATCACGGACGGAAACTACGCTGCCATAATTATATTATTGTAATTAAAATTTACATAATCCCCGATATTTAGTTTATTACCCGTGCATAATCCCTAATTATATGTGTTTGTCTATGTGTTGTGTGTTGTGTTTGAGATATGCTTGCTCTATATTGGTTTGTAATTAACAAAAATATGTATTCAACACAATAATTCTGTCAATACTAATTGTATTGTAATTATAGAAAATCTCTACTAGTTTTAATTACACAACTTAGAAAGTACGTAAAAATTTAAACCAAAAATAAATAGTGGCAAGTAGTTATACTAGATACGTGTTTTAAATCGTGATCGCCATTCAATATTTTATCAGCATTTGCAGTAGCATTTTATTCCGCTCCTGCGCATCTATTGCTCGAGTATTGTTTATTACTTTGAAGAAATATGTGTGACACTAAATAGTAACAAGAGAATAAAATGTAAAAACCAAGTGATCTTTTAAGTGCGTATTTCAAATCAAATCCAAAATGTGCTAGACGTTTTTTTTCCTACAAAAACACTAGCTTGACTAGTTGTAAATTAAACAGCAAACAGATTTTTTATGTAATCATGAAATTGGATAAAGACGTATTAGATTTCTTAATTTCCAGTCACAATAACCCCATGGTCTTGTGATGACCTTGGGGTTATAATAATTCTCAAAAAGTATTACCATTTTACAAACTTAAAACAGTTTTACAAGAAATACAAACTAGAATAAATCCATGCGCATATAGCACATGCAAATAAAAGCGTATAACGTTAACACTAGTGTCCACTTATATTTCTGTCGGCTCCCGGCAAGCCAGCCGGCGATATATTGCGAGATACCCCTCGTAATGTATGAAGCTCTTTATACTGCGTTTGCGCAGCTTTATTGCTTTTCAACTTAAGGTGTGAGTACACTTGGCGGGTTCAAAAAAGGATAGTGTTACTATTTTCTTTTAATATTGTACTTTATAAATGACAATTTAATTGAGGTGGAATAAGTAACGATAAAGTTCTTTTCAAGTTGGTATAAAATATTTAAATACTTACGTAATAGTACTTGAATACCTATTAAAAATCTTTTTTCTCGAAATAATTGATAAACTTGCTTAATATATTTATACTTATAGTTACTTCTATCAGCTGTCCAGTAAACCCGTCCCTTATATATGGCACTTATTAAAATATTCGTCAAAAGTCAATATTGTGGTTCGAATTCTTTTTTTACATCAAGTGGATACGAACCTTTATTTGTTCAGAAATACAGGTGCATGCGCAAGAGTCTTTTATTTTCCATAATTCTATTTTATACTTATACAATTTATTGTACACGTTGTCAGTCGGGACAGACAAAGCGCGCCGACATAACTAGTATGCGCAAAGTAAATATTTTTCTGTGAATTACTTCCAACGTTAAAAACAAATCAAGTCTGTTTTGTCATTTATTAAGGACAGTGTTTTATAATAATAATATATATATATATATATATTTAGTGCCTTTCATATTTTTTTCCTTTTCAAGACCCCATTAGCATAAAGAAAATATGACTCATTTTATGATGAATATTTTTAATAGATGTTAAATTCAAAAGGAAAGTCACATTTTAAAGTTAAATGTACCAAAAATAAGGTTAATATCCGAAGTCCTGTTAAACCTAGCACATAAAAAGGAAATAATATAATACTTGGCACTGTAATAAAAAGTTGTATTAAATTATAATTAAAAAAAACAAGGAAATATATAACAAAACTTTTTTAAATGATATTAAAAAAAAGAAATATATTTCGTTATAATTTAAAAAAAGAACCTAACCTAATTTAAACGCTTTCTTGGTAACTAAAAATAAATAAATATGTTTATGATGAAAAATGCACTTTTTTGGTAAGCAAAGATCTTTATCTTCATTTTAACATATTTATGCATTTAAAACAGCTTCTAGTTGTAACATTATTTGCATTTTTAATTTCACTATAAAGTGACAGAAGTTGTGTAAGGAAATTAATCTTACTCTCAATGTTTATGTGCATATAGTTTATGTCATTAAATTTAATTTATGATACCGTAGTCGCTGACAAAAATGTACATTTATGTAGAAATGTACCAAACATGTTTTGAAAGTAACGTCCTAAAGAAGCCGCGGCCATTTGAATGCTTATTAAAAATATTTTATTCAATTATATTATTTCAAAGTTGGGCCGCTGTATTATTAAAAAAACTGCTGTATAATGCATAAAACCAAAGTATAATTTTTAAATGTTTGCTTCTTTAACACTATTATAGTCAAAATAATAATCCTATTTCGTTAATTAATGTGTGCAATATTCCGAGCAGAAATTACGCAAATGTAATATTTGTGTAACACTATTGTCTTATACAAGGCTACCATCATTATTATATTAAGAAAAATAATTGTATTTAGTCCACGCATTGTCCTAAATTTTCCCACTTAATTTCGAATCGTGTCAAGTGCAGCTCATAATTGGACTGGTCCAATTATTATGAATAGAAATTATTGTTTTAATTCATTATTCTACTTGCATTAAATATTCAACGTATTGTCCAATTAGTTAGAACAAGGCCGTTGTTTCTTAATGCCTTAATTGCCGCCATTTTGCCGTGTAACAATTTAGTTTTAATTAATTCTAATAAGAATGTTTGCAGATTGATGTTTAGAATTGTTTGTAAACTCTGAATACTAACCCAGGACACGAAACTAAGGACTAGGTTGGGCCTTTGTTTTGCAATCGATAAATCTGTGCACAGCCAGTGAGGTGCTCGATACGTTCATATTGCGATATCGGAGGTATTTTAAGTTGAACTCGGAATTCTTGAGTACTTAGAGGAAGCACAGTACTTAGCGGCAGTTAGCGCTATTGTAACGCCATAAAAATAAACGTTATCTTGATTCGTAAATAACGTTATTAGAGTCATTGTGCCACTCTAGCAGACGCTCCTCAGGATTAGTCAAGAGCACGGACAGCGACTAGAGGCGCGCATTGTCTCGCATTTCCCACAACGAAAATAAAAGTGAGAATTCAATCTTTCCTCGCAGCACATTAACGGTATCTCTCCACACTACAGTGAATCTAAATATTAAAACCGCGTTACGAACATCCGGGTTTAAAAACCATGACTCGGCTCTCGTATAAGTTGTTTTACAAAATCGCTCCTATTATACTATTGTGGAAACAAAAACGTTACTTTAACTTACTTTATCAATTTAAGTAATCGTTAAACAGGAACGGCATTATACGCATGTGGCCCGGAGCCATAGCGCTGGCTGCAATGAAATCATAACGGTCGCATTACGTAATTTGGCCAACAAAAGGCAAATATTCCGAGCCATTCCGCTAGTTTATGTCTGCGAGACGGGTATTAAGGTAAATTGTACGTACAATTGCGCGCACGGGCCACTCGTTAGCCGACATGGGCTGACGTGACACCGAGCGGGCCGTATGTCGCATTGTTTCAGTTTTATGCGTACCCGACCTTAGATTAAATGTTAACTCCAAGATTTATGGCGGTCATGCGGAGGCTAGTTTAGTGGACGCTGAGGTCTTTCGTCGAAACGTTCAACTTTCATAACAGCCCAATTTGTGGGAGCGCTTAATGCGGTGTCGTGCACGGGCGCGCTTGCTCCGCCTTTTTATTGCTGCCCCTTAACTGTACACAACACCCATTCTCTTGGGATTGTCTCGCTATTTGTAGATGAAGGAATGTTATCTCGAACACACGACACTTGTACTAAGGTGCACTGTGAGTAACAATGCGCCCGAATGTTAATAAAACGGACGTTTGATGATGATCTACACTCGTAAACTGAATCGGCAGAGCTTAGAGTTACGAGCTTACAGGTACTCGGATACGGTAAATGTTCGTTGTAAAAACTAGTGTAGTGAGCCAACACTTCACAGTTGCACGATAATCTAATTATAATAATAGTCTGTTAATCAATGCACACAGTTAACTTCTAAACGGAATTGATTGAGATTTACGAGACGAAAAACACAACAAATGGCTGGAAGTTAATTAACTCATGATATACGAACGATAGCAAATACGTGTCCGTTGTAAAACTAATAATTAATTAGAATTCCAAAAAGTGTCTAAGAACTTGTCTGGGTAGACCAATCTATTACGCCTTTACACAAGTTGAACGTCAGAATTTAAATCATATATAAGTATTAATCTGACGTCTCTTGTGGTTTTAGACAATGATCTAATAAAGGAATTTAAATTTATAATTGCTTAACTTAGGATTTTACATTTAAATATCTACCTCTATGATTATGTGATAAGTTTACCCAGACAATCAAAAACAACAAAATTGGTCGGATTCTTACACTCACCAATCTTCGCTTGGGCTTGATCAGGGGTCGATTCTGTCCGTTCATCTTGTAGTAGAGGCCGCACGCGTTGCAGAGGTAGTGTCCCGTGCCGTCACGTCGCCATAGAGGAGTGCTGGTCGCCCCGCAGTTGACGCATTCCCGTCCCTCTGTACGTAGACAATATAGTTAGATAGGACAACAATAAAAAAAACAATCAAGATTCGCGTGAAAAGGCTTTAGTCAAGACAAAATTCAAAAATGGAACAGTTTCATTTGCAAAGGGATTACAAAAGAAGTACGGTAATCAAAATGTTAACAGCGTTAAATTAATAAAATAGCGCAGTAATGAGATCATTACAGACCAAAATTATAGTTAATGTGTTTATGCAACAGCAAAAGTAAGTAGTAAAGCGAAACGACACCAAAACCAAAGACAAGACCAAATAAAAGGATTAATTGTATGAAACCATGGATAACGTAGCATTGTATGGAATATGGAAGGGTGGAAATTACCTGTTTCCTGGCAGGCTGGGAAAGATGAGAGAAAATCACATTCAGAAACATTACAAATATAATTTCACTAACAATGCATGCTAATACCAAGCACTTACATAAATGTTCTACATCATCCTTCACAACACATTTATCTTAACATCAACATAATTGCAATTACTACGAAAAAAATAGTAAAATATTCAATTAACTAGGGAAAGCGCGACGAGTTTCACTTTGAAGAAAAAATATCAAGATTTTTTACACGCGAAGGAAAACTAAGAGAAAGTAACGCTTGCATCGGTTGTTAAGTTTGACTGACGACTGCGGAACGCCCTTAAAACATTATTCAGATTCAGCAAAGAAAACAAAACTAATGAAAAAGTAGAAAGAAATGTCAAAACAAATCCATTCATATAAAATCGAGAACATGCTTATACAACAGTCCTCATTCATACAGAAATTAAAAAAATATTAATCATCCAACATGGTAGATCAATGGCGCATAATTTTACTGCAACAACAAAAGCGAGTTGCTACAAAAATAAATAGTTGTTGCAAAAACATTGGTGAGCGTCTAGTGTTAAACAGAGCGGAACCAGAGCTATAAACTATTACCCACATGCTAATTTTCGCTGTGTGTAATTGTACACCGATGTCTAAAACAATTTCAAACGCAAGCCATCGCACCTCATCCATGAACCGAGTTGAATTGCAAATCTTCATAAACGAATCGAAACAAAAAAAGATCGCTTCATAAATTCTACGTTTGACACCTAATTCATCAAACTAGCCAAGCGATGAAATACAGAAACAAATAAAATGCTAAGTCGATACTTTACTCATGCGTTAACTTTAGAAATTCATGCAAAATCTGACCCCAGGCTGAGCCGTCCTCCGGGAAACTCGTTTAAACGATTTTTTAAACATCACAATAAGCAATTTTACCAAAGTGCTTACATGGTTAGTGAGAGGATGTGTTCACATATGGGATGCGCGTGCGCCGCCCACAATCTTTCCCTAAACTCGATTACACGATCGATGATTTACTGAGATCGAATTTAAAAGCTCGTTACACCTTCGCATCCTCCTTAGAGGCGTTCGATAACAAACTAAGTACAATCAGTGTGGGAAATCTGAGGACGCGTGACAAACACCCGCCGGCACTTATCTATAACTTTGTTTGTATAGAACTGGTTCGAGGCGAACATATCGATCGGAAGTATATCAATAGGTATCATAATTATTATGTATCTAGATCTGATTATCCAAGTCCCAAGACGCAGCAGGCCGGCGCGCTGAATAAATAATAATAGTACGCGGGAAACATCGCGACGAAGGTGAAAGTGCTCGAATATCTGTTAGAAAAAAATATGTTAAACGAACCAAAAATGTTTTACGACCTTTAGGCAGTGCAGCCATTCATCTTTTTTATGTAAAACCAGATCAAAACCGGCAATTAAATCGCCCGGACTTTATCGAAAACTTATTGCGATCGGGCCAACGACTCACTTTTTGGACTAACCCTTTATATTTTTTGTTACATCGATAAAACCTGTAATTTGTATCGAAGTTTGTAATAAATAAACACCAATAACGATTATTAGGAAAAAATAACAGGATATTACACGGGCTGCGATGTTTTATGATAGTGTCTCTAGCTTAGAGACGGATTTAGTTCATTAGTTACGTCTCTATTGGTAAAAACATTTGTGAAAGCCCGTGGAGCCGCGGGCGGCGACGTTTCACAAGATTTACAGCGGCCTGCCCCTCATACATCGACATTACACGTATTATTAAAGAGAACACTGTTCTGATTAATTACTATACGATTTAATTGTTCGATCCGGTCCAATGGTAACATTTTAATACATTCACACCGAAGAGTTATATCTTAATTTCCCCTGACGGACGATCTGGCCGCGGCCGCGGCTCCGCCCGGCACGCGTGATTTAGACTCGACATAAAGATATCATTTTATTTGTCCGTAACGGTATGACTCCGCAGAGACTGCCTATCCTGATCTACTGCAAAACGTATGAGGCTAAGCGAAAAATTCCAGTGTTTATTCAAAATTAGAATGCGGCGCGCTCTTTATAGCCCGGAGTGACGTGCGCTCGTGACGCGGCGGCGCTACGTGACCGCGATAAAAGATTTTCATCTGCCATATTTACGTAGGCGAGTGGGCGGTTTTTATTTTTCGAGAGTCTCCAGGCTCTCGGGCCCATCGAGGAGTCGCAAAGTTTTCACACGCTCCCGAGTCCCGCCGCGTAGGGAAAACACTGCACACGGCGCGTTTCGCTGAGAGTGCAGCTCGCCACTCGAGCGATGTTGACCTCAGAGCTATCGATGCGTTCGAAACAAACGAAGCCGGCCCGTTACTGCTCGATGAAACCACTAAGTAAAAACTCCTACATAGTCACGTATAACGTTAATGTGTATCAGGGTAATGTAATTTAAATGAAGGACTAATTCGCTCTCGTGTAGCGTGACGCGCTCTCTCGGCGCATCGGCCCATCAACACGTAACGGTGAGGCTATTTTGTATACAAACCATTAAATTATTGCTCAAAACTTATTCTTTGTTGCGCCACAGAGGCTGTTATTACGCTTTAATTATATGCCTGTATGCAAATAGAAAAATTTAATGGAAGCTGATGGTCTCGCTCGAGGTTTATTTTTATTGAGCATTGTGTTGCCAGGAAATATGTTAAAAGCAAAAAAGAGATGTTACAAGTCATTGACTGGCTAATTGCATTTCACTTTTGTTTAGTCATTTAGTGTCGGTTGATAGTCGGTGGTGGTACAGTATGATAACAAGCGGTGATCAGGAATGAAGTCATTTTTCACGGCGCCTGCACTGTGGACCGGCGCTGTGGCGGTCGGCGCAACGCACGGTGGCGCGGTGGTGCGGCGGTCGGCCGCTCGTATTTGCATTCGTTATTAGCATATTGCGAGATAATTACGTGTGACGAGCGATGCGATGCCGCTCAGTAGCAACTTGCACTGAACCCGATGTAATTATTATGTACCGGTCATGTGATGTCCGAGTAGCAGCGCGCACATCTAACGACCGGTCCGCGCTATGATTTTTTGCTAAAACCAGACTTCACTTAGCTCTTCGATTTGCATGAAGCTGTAAGCCGTTCGAACGCTGCGTGATTGCAAGCTACGTACTAACACAACATCTCTGTCCTGTGATTTTATAATTGTATTAATAGCCGCGGATGTCCAACGCAAAATGCAAATTTCAAGTTGATGCAACTGTAGGCAACAATACGCGTCGGCAGACCGTGACGAATTTACTATACCTAACAACACTAACTTTATACAATAACTTGATCCTACATTCTGTAAACGAATTGGTGAATAAGTTACCAAGTTAGTCGAGACGTGAGAGAAAGATTTATGATTTGTGTTTAGTGTTGTCTGTTAGCATTAAACTGGACAAAAAGTATTGCGTCGTCAGGCAAAAATAATAACACATTAAGAGTTGGTCGGAGCCTCATTCCTGTTGTGTGGCGGTCCGTGGCGCGGGCGCACGGCCACCGCTAATTGGTTGCGCAACAGCGATGCGAGCACGTTGCTGCAACACGCTACGTGTATCTTAACCCGAACCGAATGATACACGCGAAATTTTCAGTTCCGCTGTCAACGTGAATGTTATAATTAATTAATTATAGATTTTCACACGGATTACTCGCGATATTCATGTGGCTTCGATTCTTACTGCAGAGAGACAGGAGAGACAAGTAGACAGAAAGTCGCATCATTGTGTCAGATCTATGTATAATGAAGGTAATTTATTATAAGGCTTACTTTCAATATCTGCTTTCAACGTCTAATTCCATATTACCTTATAACGCTAAGAAAATAATCGCAAGATTAACTAGGTAGCAGTCGAACAAAGCGGCTGCATTCGAATTGTTATTGAACACAAAATCATTGAATAATTTGAATAGTCTAAGTGAACGCAACATTGTTTTAGAAAGTGTTGAATGGTACTGTTTAAGAAATAGCTTGTATAATAACAGGTTACTATTGGAACTGACCGTTTATTATTCGAATTGCCCTTTCCATGACATTCTTCTAATACAAACTACGTTTTAGGTCACGATTTTTCGATTGTTCGATCTAAATGCTACGTTGTACTTAATCTGGTATCATTAATTCGTAATGCACAAAGAACTGATAGGTACTACAACATTATCCGATGTTCTGGAATGAAGGTTGCAGTACTTAAGTACCTTGATTGATTCACTTAACGACCAACTGTGATAATCTTTTGCATGCGTACTTGAACTATGAAGTCTATGAATGCAATCACTGTCAATCTTTTCAATCAGAGTAACTACTGTCTTTGATCCAAAAATGGCAAACTATAGTCTTGGATCGTAGCTATGAAATGCTGCATTAATTTGTCCTAAAGTCCGTATATTGTAATAGGCAGGAGGCTCGAGGTCAGGCGATCGCTAGCACAATGGAATGGTCCACATCCGGCCGCCGCACATTAACATAATACCGCTTCCACCAAGGAACTGCCACCTACTGCCCGACATAGCTACCTGTATATGTACTATACACTCAGTACCCCTACAGACAGCTCAGTATAAGTACTGAGATTATGATCTACTAGCATTCAGAAAAAATATCTAAATGAAAACTTCTCCAAAAACCCACGAAGGAAAATCCATCACAAACGATATAAACAACACACTAAAAAATAAATTATTATCTATATACTAATTTAAAAAACATCATATACCGTTGTTTCATTATGATTAATTGTGAAAAAATGTATTAAAAACAAATCATTCGGGCAGCGTGTTACTATCAATTAAACAAGTGAGCTAATAAACTATTTCCAATTACAAACATACATTATATAGCGAGCGTGTATTGAGTTTTTTACGACAATTATCAAGAACACGTCGAGTTTAACAAAAACTTAACGACGCGTAACATTGGGTAAATTAGATTAAATACTTTAAGAATATGTATAACGTATTTCATAGGCTGTATTTTTTACCAATCTGCATTTCGAAAATGGACTGTAAATTATCTGTGGGAGAATTTTATAGTCTGTGCCGACTTAAATGTCAAGTGACATTTTTAATCTACGCTCGCTCTTAACAATGATTGTATTCATTGCGCAATGAATATTTAATATTTAATTTAACATAAATTAAATGTGAAATAAAATAGACAATACTCAGATATAATTACTGTCGACATTTAAGCTCCAACAGACTATCTTTGTTTTATAACACTCAAAAAAGAATTTGCGAAAATAATTAATAGGAGAGATTTACATTTTCATAATACACGGAAGTGTAAAAGAATAAATAAGTGTCTACTTAGTTAATGGCTTTATCCGACGCAATTAACGCTGCGCCTACTTTTTCAATACGATTCTAATTATATCATGAGAAATCCATTATAACAATCGAGATGCGGCCGCGTTCGTGAACCAGCATGCTAATCCATTTAAAATTTCACTAAATATTGAACAAACATAATTGTAACGGGAACTATTTAATTGTCTGTCTATATTAACAGTCATTGTACATAAATCTGCGCATTCATTATTCTAATATGAGACAATAAGCCGCCATTTTAGTTCCCGTCCATTGTCAAAGTTTAACAAGTACGGGAGATATAATTACATTTTCAAATATAAAATAAAGCTGCATTATGTGGTGTTAATACAATTAGTGTTGTGTAACTCTTTGTGTTATGTTGGCAATGACGTGGCGTGGCTAATGGCTAGGAGTGCTCTCGTTACGAAAACGCATCTAACAATTAAAGGTCACCGCTGAGTTTGACTGTAATTATGTAGGACTTCTATGTGGAATTAAGAAACAAACATCGTTTACTTGATTGTGAAAGTAAATAAAAGCAATTCTCCTAATTTAGAGGAGTGTCGCGACACTTAATAGAAATCTGCTTAAGAGAATTTATTTAATTATCTAGTTAGAAAACAATGGCAGGTCGCAATTAAATAATGAGAAACGTCTAGTTTGTTTGGTCAACATCAGTCGAGGCCGCATCGGTTCACATGTACCACAGTAACAATGAAGTGCGCCCGTCCGCTCCGGCTTACACCGTAAATATATTAGACAAGTTAATTGGGGAATTCCTATTCTCATACACCGACGGAAGATTGATTAAGTTCGCTTTGAAACTATACACCTTTCAACTAAATGCAACCACGATTCCCGCTACTCGCAAACTGAGAATTTATCACGTTCAGTAACTGCAAAGAGCCAATACATAAATTATTAGCACAACACCTCCACCACAGAGTAGTTAGTAAGAAGAAGCGTTAGTACCCGACATGATCCCAAGCCCTAGTACCGTGTTAGAGACTCGTGAGGCGCCACAACCCCTGGTGCAAGAGCCGCGCTTATCCGAACACATCACGATATCACTCGACAATGCCATTTGGAAACCAAATGAAATATTAATCTTGCTACGTTTATCGAATTAATATATCTCAATTGTCGATGAGACAATCTGTAGAGATTCTAATTACGCGGGATATCTCCGCTGCCATTCTGTAAAGGCTTCTATTAGACCGCGGATGGTCGCGTATTTGATTTATTAACTGATTAGAGACCATTTAAATGAAAGCTATCCTAGGCGTAATGCGAGTCGGTATCGTGAGCGAGAGATTTGGATCATCTGAATCGCTTACAGTGATATCTTTAGTTAGTGGCGTAGTATTAGAGCGTGGTCGGATAAGCGCGGCGAAGTGGTGAGTGTGAGTGCACGCAGCGGGAGCGGTGCAGTGCGGTGCGGACCGCGGACTCACCGGCGCTAGTTCGCGTCTTGTTCGGTCGCGGCTTGCTCTGCTGCTGCCCACTATAACCCTTCCCTTGGTAGTTGTAGTAGTCGCCGCCGGCGGCATTGTACTGCGCGTTGTATTCCCCGGAGGGCTGGCTCGACTCCTGGGGGCACGAGTCTAGCTGCGCACCTTCGCGCTGCTTCGACGGCGGTGCGCCCATCATGGGCTTCACGTCGCCGCACAGTGGCAGCTCCTGCTGCTGCTGCATGAAGGCGACGCTCATGGCGGTGGCGTGCGCGACGGCTGCCTGGTAATCCTGCTGACCGAGCGCTGCTGCCGCCACGGAGTCTGGCGTCGAATCCTTCGGCGGCGTCGGGGGAAACGAGAACAGGGGGTGTGGGTGGTGATGTTGCGCGGGTGACAAGGGTTTGTCTGCCTGCGCCGCATCTTGCTGGAAGCCACTACCCCACGCACCACCGCTCAGTGCCTTGGACTCTAGCCAGGGATGCAGCGGCGTGTGGAAGTGCGGCCTGCACACCTGCCCGCTGCCGCCGCTCAGCGTTCGACCTGCACATAAAACAAACCATTCAAAATCGACTCAATCGTAATAGTGATGACGCCTCCGCAATTTGATTCGTAAACCTCTCATGTTTACGAGCGTTTAAGTAACCATTATCGTAGCTCAGATCCTGCGATAGACAGTCATTGTAACACGAGTCCGAACATCAAAACTTGTTGTCATTAAAGCGGACAATTTGGAGGCGTTTTGTTACCCCAGCGAGCTGAACTAAATTAATATCATTTGTATCTAACAACTGGTCTTTCACACGACATCTTCATTCTCAAATATTGTAATTGTAATCATGAATATTCCGGGTTCTAATGGCTATTTGATAAACAAATAATGGAGGCATTACGCGGGTCTCGATGGCTGCGTCCGTGAACAAAAGGCCTTACTTTTCCGAAACGTTTCAAAAGCGGCGTATCACAACACCGAACAATTAAAATTGTAGGCCAGCTGGAAATTTCATTAATTATGTACGTGTAGCAGTGTTAGTTTTGATTATACGCTGTGTTCATTAGTTTGCATACAAGCTTCGTAAATGTTTTGATCGTTATGTCTAGTCCATCGTTTGGACCTTGTGCAGTTTACTTGTATCATAACTGAGGGTTTTAAAATACTCATGTATTGTCGCACCCTATTTTAATTTCCGAAACAACATTCGTCAATGATTATTTATAAAAGAGAAAGCAAACATATGTAAGTACCTACATGTGCATTTGTTGGCCGAGGGTGGCGGTGGTAATGATATCTGTGTTCGTGAACCGTTCGACGATTGGTTGATTTCAGTGAGGGGCGCATCCCTTCATGCTGTTCCCTACGGTAAGCCGGCAGGAGGCACAGAGGTCGAGCATCCCCGCGGCGCACTACGGGTACTTAACAACTAGTTACACTCAACTTACTGCCAAACATATGTCTATGTGATTTCAATGAAATACGATTAAGCTATACTGCAGTGCACTCACAATATCTACGCAGATGCTGAGAGAGATAATGCAGCACAAATTAATACCTTGACCTTCCAAAACAAAGCTGGCCGATTATAAAATGGTATCGTTGCGTCAATGAATTCGTCGCAAACAATGTTGTAGATATATCTACACAAGCCCGCATCGTGTCGATCCAGGTGTCGATCGCAGTTTGAGATTATCAGTGATTGTTATCACAAGGGCACCCGTACATTGCGGCCTAGTCACGGCTAGACCCGCTGGGGGAATGAACCTTACCAGCAGTGAATGTTGAAATTACACATTTAATTAGTAACATCTGATAAGTTTATATCACCTGAAACCTTCGATCGAACCGGAGGCAGTGTCCCCAAATCGTATGACAGATTGTAATGACTGGAAATCTGATAAAAGTTTTTAAAAATAAAGGTACAAAAGAGTCATTCATGATATATTCATGAGACAATTGAAACATATAGATTTCAATCGGTCCTCAACTTGCAGCTATCATAATTATTTTAGAGGGCCAGTTAGTCCAAACCGAATTGCGTTGGACGAGTTAAACTGTCGATAACATCGCAGTGGGCTTCAGTGAAATAATCGAACATCGGGCGCCGGAGTCATTACAGCAAACAACACGGAATAAAACAATAATCAATCCGTACGGCGTCACATTAGGCCGAGTACACACAACAACGTTTTGACAGCGTCCGCGACAACCGGGAGCCACCCCTCGTGCGTTAGGCCGCGTTCACAATAGCCCCTGCGATGGCGGACCGATAACGCGCGTATGAATAATTTCTGTTATCGCACCATCTCGCCACATGCCCTACCTGGCCGCCACGCTTCTCCAAAACAGCCGTTCCAACGCGACAGTTTAATCCGTTTTCATACAATATTCCAATAAAGGCGATTTTCCAGCGATAACTTGGTACCGGGTGGCCACCAGCGCTTTTTATTCATTAGAGGGCTGCAAGTTTCGGCCATTGTACTAGATACGCAGTTTGTATACCACTAAGCCTTGATTGTTATGGGATTTCGTGTTTTACAAGCACGAGGGCCTAATAGAAAAAAAAACTATAAACAGAAGGCAAGTAAGCACAGTGGAAATTGAATTAGGAGATCCGCTTTTGTTATTATCTCTAGATCTCTGTGACAATGTGAAGTTCTAATGAATGGAATTTTGAAACGAGCTCGTATTATTAATAATTGTAATTGTTGTTAGGTAAATATATAAAATAGAATAAGGCGTTAGTAGACTAACTACTGGGACAATATTTAGTTTTTATTTCGCTGAAGGAATAAATTTGTAGCATGTAATATGCAGATTCATTCCTTCAGCGTAAGATAGGCAAACGATTATTATTGAATTACCTTATGTCACAACAGATTCTATTCATATTCAAAAGTCTTCATTCGATGCTGATGATGAACATTACAGTAGAAAGGCATGTTTCAGAAAATATCATAATGAACAAATATACACCACACACGTAAGCAACCATGACAATCAATTCCCAAACGTCATAGGGGTCAATAAATCAGCATTAGTTAAAACCTTCATTTCTCACACGGTAATTAAAGGCAAGTAAATACGAAAATCAAATCATAAACCAATCATAGTTAAGCCGTTAGTTCCCACAGACGGCGCCGAAACAAAACACCGGAATTGAACCCCGGCCCTTGCCATGTGACTACCCCCGGCAGATGCAGCGAGAGATCTTATCACCGCGCCACAGGGCACTAACACTGGTGTTCAAATTGACGATGTACACCCGCCTTATGCATTTACTGTAACGGTTTTATAACCCTTCGGATTTTTTTCGGTTCGCGAAATTTTCACATACTCATCGAGCGGGTTAAAAATAATTAAGGTACTGGCTGGTTTGCGCTTTTACTCGGGCTTTTTCTGTTAAAGATAGTAACCTATTTGGTCCCCTAACAAAAACAACCGACCAGTAACATTTATGACCGAATTTTATTTTAAAATTCAAAATTGGAATGCAAATTCAATTACTATTGCGTATTTTATAACTGTGGCTTGTTACTAAATTTATCGCTTTACCACTTGTTATCATGTATGCTTTAGTACCTACGATACAATAAACACTTTCCTAGTACGTTACAGACCAGCAGTTGTCTCTTTCATTATGTTTATGGTAATGAGATTAAAGTTGGTGGTATGGGTGGCAGTGAAAATTATTTTTTTGCATTTGATATAAGAGTGGGCGCCAAATTTATCGCATTCATATTGGATACCAGTAAAAATTCATTGAGTCCATTAACCCGCCCCTTGGTCTTGCATCCACACAAGCGTTAAGGCGTGGTTACACTGAAACCGAGCTCCCTCCTTTATGCTCCTCGCTTGCGGTGAAAATTGCCCCTTACGGCTCAAAGTGCCTCGTAACTGGTGCATATGTACGTAATAAACTATAATGTGTGTTGTGCCCGGCGTGACGTCTTCCGGTGACAGTTACAACTCGTAATAATTATAACCCTAGAGTTAGGTGATTTTATTGCACCATCTACATGCGTTTTAATGAAAAGTAATCATGTTTTCTATGGAATTAAATTATGATATAAAAGTCAACGGAAAATAAATAATATTTTCTTTTGAGTATGAATTGTTTTAGTAATAACTGCTATTTTCTGAATAAAAACGAAATGTGTTGTACCAGGTATTTCTATTAATTGGGATTGATTCATAAAGCGAAGTGACAGGCCTCGTGAGAAGTTTCCCGGGCCGCGTCAAGGTCACACGGACAGCGTCGTCCAGTCTGCCGCGGTTTATTTGCACGCCGTGACATCAGCCGCATCCGCATGCGAGTTGCGTTCTCGCGCGTGTGTTGACGCCTTTACAACCACCAATACGCACGCCATCTTATCCCTTCCACTTATTGTATTTAGACGTGTTATCCTTTGTTCCCGCGGCGGATCATTACGTGCCCGATCATCACGACATCGATAATCCCTATGTACGTTGTCATAAAGGACACATTCCCTCGATGAACGCGCCCTGTGAAATGTCCGACGTGTTAGCGAATGATAAATGTAGGCGTCGGTATCGCGTATCGGATCTCACCGTTCGCACGCCGAATTAATTTTAATTTATTGATCGTCGTATCGACGACGAGTATTTTAGGTGCCTACTAACGTCGTAACGCTGCTTTGCTTTTAAAGTATTTATTTACAACATTGTCTTTTTACCGATTTAATATATTGCTGGTATGGCAAGCTAATTCTCATGATTCTTTTGTTTTGCTCTCGCCTTGTTTTTGTCCAAATTATACAGCTTAACCGACTATTTGCATTAATATGTTAAGTATCCGCGTACTTTCTTATGCATTCTTCACATAAACGTGATGCATAACATGTTATTTCCGATTTGGGTTAACATTATTTAAATGAACTCCCCTTTAACTCCGGAATTATGCAATACGAAATAAAGACTTTTTTATGATTGCCATAATATAAATTGTACTGCTGAAATATACAGCAGTTAACTCTATAATTGTCAGTAACAATATAAAACGTTTATTGTGACTGAGTAAGGAACATCTGCGAGCGAGCCATGACGCTGACGCTGACGCGACGGACCGATGGAAAATATTCGCACGCTAATTAGCCGGATTTCCCTTATTATGAAACTATGTAAATTATATTTGGGGTAATAAAATACCTTTATTTCAAAATTTGTTCGATGTTTTATTTTACGATGCTTGGTAACTCTATACTTAAAAGTGAAACCCAAACAAAACCAGTTGCGAAGTGTCGTTGCTTTATGCTTATTTCTTTGTGCATTTTATGCAGTGCTTATTCTGTGGTACGATAACTATGTTTAGCGAGCAGATACCTTGTGGAGACTTTATCGATCAAACGGTTATGAATGTCGTTCGCTTTTGCAATAGTGATTGACTTCAAGTTCGAAAACGTCAATGAACTCAGTCGAGAATTCGGGGAACGCAATCCGCGGCTGAAGTCGAAAGTGTCCAAACGTGAGAGTTCGCTGTCGTACACTCATATACTCCCATAGCGCTGTGTGTGTCTTGTACGAGCTA